ATTGGCCAAATCCATCCTCCCAGGGGCCGTGAGCAGGAGTTGGGATGCAGAGCTGCGTGCTGTGAAGCAGCAAACACCCCACGGCGTTGTGATTGGGTGCAGGGGGGGGCGTCTTGTGCTCCCCCCCGAGTGGCTGCTCCATCCTTTGCTCTGAGCAGAAAGGAGGCATTTGCAGGTGGAAATGGGGCAAGATCCAGCTGTCCTGTCCCCTCCCCTGGATCAGGGCAAATTGGGGGTCGCAGAAAGCTCAGAGGGGTCTCACCGGGGACCTGGGGGTCCTCCCCATCCCGGGGCTGACGCTTTCCTCATCTTGCAGAAATCATCGAAGAGGTCATGAAGGAGGACGGTTTCCAGCTGGATCCGGCCCCCATCCTGCCCAAAGTGCTGCCCAAAGGCTCAGCCAAGCTGGTGGCCCGTGGCTCCAGCCCTGCAGTAGCCACCCGGCCGCTGTGCCCAGCTGAGCCCTGCCCTTACGGTGCCACAGTGCTGCCGGCTGACTCACGGTCCCCCCAGCTCGCTCAGAGCCTCAGCACCCTCTCGCTGTCACCCAAGCTGGTGCCGCGGGGCACAACAGGCACCGGTGGACGGCACCGCTGGCCCCCGGCTACCGGGCAGGGTAAGGACCAGCTGGAGGAGCTACTAGAGCCACCCAAACTGGTGATCACGGAGCAGCCCAAGCAACGGGGCATGCGGTTCCGCTACGAGTGCGAGGGCCGCTCTGCGGGCAGCATCCTGGGTGAGAGCAGCACCGACGCCAGCAAGACGCTGCCGGCCATCGAGGTGAGCGTGCCACGCGGCTAGTGGCCTAGCCTTGGGGGTGGTGGAAGGGTGCTGGGGGGCTGCCAGAGCCCTGTGGGTGCTGGTTGTGGGAGAATGTGGGAGCCCTATAGGTGTTGGGGTGCTCCATGCTCGTCCTTGAGTGTAGGAGCCTCCCAATGAAGGTGCCCGGCCCCGATGGTGGGTAGCAGGTGCTGAAACCCATGCTGGGGTGCTGCCCCCACCCCGTGTCTCTGGGAAATGGGGTCCCCTGACAACTTCATGTCTTCCCCAGCTGCTGAACTGCCAGGCCATCCCTGAGGTGAAGGTGACGGCGTGTTTGGTGTGGAAAGACTGGCCCTACCGCGTCCACCCCCACGGCCTGGTGGGCAAGGACTGCAGCAACGGGCTCTGCGAGGTCGTTCTCAAGCCTCAGGCCAACCCCAAGCACAGGTACGTGGTGCCAGGCCCAGTCCCCCTGCCATGGCTCTGTCACCCCCCCCACAATGCTGCCACCAGCCTTGTGACCCCCCTCAAAAAAAAATCCTGTCGGTGCTGACTTCAAGGGGCCAGTGGCACTGGGGGGGGCAGTGACACCAGGGTGGGCATAGGAGGGGGGTCAGTGCCACCTAGGGGGGCACAGGGGATGACAGTGCCATCTGGGGGGACTGGGGAGGGGCACTGATAACTCGAGGGGGGTGTCACAGTGCCACTGGGGTGGACACGGGGTGGGGGTGGCAGCGCTGGTGACATCTGGG